AAACTTTCCATGAGTCTTTTGGGGGCATCCAGTTTTGGTTCGGCTGGCAAGTCATCGGAATCTTCCATGCGAGTTTTGGGGGCATCCAGTTTTGGTTTGGCTGGCAAGTCATCGGAATCTTCCATGCGCCTTTTGGGGGCATCCAGTTTTGGTTCGGCTGGCAAGTCATCGGAATCTTCCATGCTCTTTTTNTTGGCTGGCAAGTCATCGGAATCTTCCATGCGCCTTTTGGGGGCATCCAGTTTTGGTTCGGCTGGCAAGTCATCGGAATCTTCCATGCTCTTTTTTGGGGCATCCAGTTTTGGTTTGGCTGGCAAGTCATCCAAACTTTCCATGCGCTTTTTGGGGGCATCCAGTTTTGGAGCATCGTTTGGGTCGACTGGCAAACCATATCTTATGTAATCCCTGTAAAGCTTTTCAAAGGAACTGCCTTTTAAACTTTGACTTGCTTCGTCACTTTCTGGAGTTCGGTCAACGATTTGTCTTGATTGGACTGCTACGACGAAAAGGAGAAGTGCTGTAACTTGACACCTCATCTTGATTCCAGGAAGAAATTGTGTACCTATTTGCATAACAAATTATAGAAAAATTATATATATATATTGATTCAAATGAAAGAATTTTGGGTTTGATACGGTTTAAAGCAATACTTAGCTAAGACGGTGCAGATGTACGAAAATTTGAAATAGCAATATCTATAACTTCGACCATGCTGGTTTGGAATACACGACTTCGAGAGAGCTAGTACTATCTAAAAATATTTATACACTACGTGCGTTTTATTAAAATTATTTTTGCGGAGATAGCCGACAAATTTGTATCGCTAGCGTTTTTTGTAATTTAGCTAAAGAACTATGGAAATCCAGTGAAGAAAACACGATATACAGACTGTTGCAGTCTTTGTTTTACAATAGCGTTTTTATTTGCGTGTGGTGTTTTTGTGGTCGTGAATGAGTGTTTTGTAAAAAAAAAAAAAAACGCGAGTCGATTCATAGATATCTAACATATAATATATATTCATAGTTCTGTGAGTAACTCCAACTAAAATCCTGTGACTGAATAGACCTTAGTTAATGATAAAACCATGATTGTGATGTTAAAACACAATAATTTTCACAAAGTTCATCAAGTTGCTTTTTGTCATCAACCAATCGATCTCTAGTTAGGATATAAATAACGAAGGTCTATGTCACCTGAAGTATCTCTATAACAGTATTGTGTTCTCTTGGTGAAGTGGCTTAAGGGCAATGGACCCATCTCAAAAGTATCGTCGATGCGAGGCTAACATYGAAATACAAAAGAAATCGCACTGGCATTTCTTTTGTATTTTCATGTTAACCTCGCATTCAAGACAATTTTGAGAAGAGTCCATTTTTGTCAATATCGTTACATACTGGAAGAAAACATAAAATTTGGCTCAGAAATAAACTCGTACATCATATTGTGAAGGCGTGCCAAGAAATAAGGTGTCAGCGGGGTGTTAACTGCCTGGAAGTAGGGAACGCATGCTATGAAAGTAATTTACATTTTACTTATTTTGGAAAGCAAAAATCTACCCCACCCTCATTCAAAATTAAATTTTTACCCAGATATGAAATTCTCTGGCACCCCTCCTCAATTTTTTAAGTGACAAGGAAACTCCATTCGAATTTTGGTGCTAGAGTTTTCCAGTTTGTAACGATTCTTGCATTGAGCCTTTGGGGCCACTTTACTTGAACCCACGACCTTCCGAACAACAAACCCGCTACTCGCGATTCATTCGACCTACTGCTATGAGCCAAGCGGGTGTGGATTGTCTCATTATATAGATCATGCATGCGGCTTTACAGTCAAAGGACATGAAGCGTGCCCTGCTAGACTGCATGCATTATTCAATTCATAAAAAGATTTTTGGTCGTTGCAATCTTCCGAGAATGAAATCAAATTTAAAAATCCAAACTTGGGAATTTAATTGCATTACCTTTCAGCATTTGTACAAGTTTGTAACTCATAGAAAAAAAATTAATCTGTTTGAGCTGATGATCTTAAAGACAATAGATTTTGATGAAATTCTTCAATATAAGATTCGAAATATTTTTGGGCTACGCTAACGCTGCGATTCAAATTGACGCTAGCTACCTGTTTGCTTATAGACTTTTTTACTCGCTCAAAAGTTTTTTTTGATCAATTAAACCGATGAATAAGGTGCTGAAAAGGACAAAATTCAATGTTAATTGATGTAAAGATTATGAATACAGCAAAACAGAACGCAAAATAAGCCAATGCAATCAGATTTCGAGATTTCATTTGATTTTTGAAAATAATTACGGAATATTAGAAAACGAAGAATGATGTCAAAAATCAAACAATGAACTGAATAATGCATTCTAGATGGGCACGCTTCATGTCCTTTGACTGTAAGTTGTGCTCTTGTTTTGAAAACGGGGATTATGACTATTCTTGGGGTGCGACCACGACTCAAAATTGCTTGGGATATAAATAAAATACAGCCGTAATATTTGTTGATCTACCTAGAGAACTGAGTTAACGAGGAAGGCTTTGTTATCGTCAACCAACATGGCGGCTATGACGTAACACATACACCCCAAGAATTACTGAAACCATTTATTGTTATAATTAAAATAAACTATAGAAAAGCTTGGAGGTAAACCTTCTAAACTTTCTAAAATCTAGGAATGTAAAAATTTGCGCTTTTTTTTTTTTTTTTTTTTTTTTTTTTTTAAAGTGTAATTATGATTTATGATTGTTAATTGAAAGAAATAAAAAATAAGA